AACAGAGACAAACCCACTCTGTCCCACTCCCTTGGTGTGGGAGGAATAAAGCAAAGAACTCCGTTTAACCAACACCAGCTCAAAGCTCACGAGGAGCTCTGGTGGTTTTACAGTATTGTTATTATTATAGCATGAAAAGGCCTAGATCCAAAGAGATAAATTAGTATTTCCCTTTCTACTGAGAAGGAACAGGAATTTCCTTTTATAAAACCCCTGGAATTAATGTCAGGTATGCACTGATTTAAACAGTCAGTCTGATAACCCCTGTTCAATAGCCATGGGCTTCTCTGTGTGGAGGAAAAACCCACACTTACCTTCTCTAGAGTCCTCTTTTCTTCCTCAGTTTTCTGAAGCATTGCTTTTGTATGGCTCGTGGCTTTATCAAATACTGCCTGCAAAATCAACAAACAACCAAAGCAAAACGCAAAATGCAACTGTGTCAAACACCGTGATTAAACTGTGTTAATTTTCAGTTTCACACTCATAGCCAAACAGCAGAGTACAGAGTCACAAACACCAGCAGCCTCCTTGTGAGCCTCACAGGGTTCTGATCTCAAGTCTAACTGGCACAACAAACTTTTTGGGTTTCATTCCCAGAACCTCTGGAGCATCATTCAGCTTGAGATTGTGTCTTCTCCAGGGCTTGTGCAGGAAATTACACCTTGAACAACTGGGTTACAACACACCTAAGCTCTGATCCAGGCCTAAGTGGCTACAAAGATGTGATGCTAGAAACCACACAGCTAGAAATGGGTTATGTAAGTAGGCTAAATTCCAGGAACTGGATTCAGCAGAATTTGTTATCAAAGAGAATAAAAATACTACAAATGGTGAACAAAAGAACGACCTGACATTTAAGGCACACTGTCCCCTAGGGCAGCAGATGGAGCAGCCAACTCGAAATACTCATGCTTTGCAGCAGGATTCCAAGCACTGCCTAAATCTTCAACATAAGGGACCGCAAAAAGGCCTTAATTTTATCTTCAGTAGATAAATCCTCCAGGATTGTCAAAGCTAAAATTTTAAGAATTGCTACAACACTGAAGTCTTATTAAATAACACACTAGTGGCAGTAAATTGTAGAGGCAAGTCTGTGGACACCTGCAGACTCAATGATGTAAACTGCAGCCCTGGGAAGGCCTTAAGGTTTTTGAGGTTTTGATGAGGAGCAGCAGCAGATTTCCTCTGTTTTCCTTGTTACCACCAAGAGGTTTCTGAACAGCTCCTACCATGCTCTGCAGGATTCTCAGGGCTTCATCTTTCCCTTCAAGCTGTCTTTGAGATGCTTCAAGCTCAACTTTCAGAATTTCAAGTTCCTGAGGTAAAGCAAAGTAGACACGCTGAGTAAAAGCCAAGGTAATCTTGATAAGATTCAGCTGAGACCAATGTAAATTTTCCCTCCTCAAAAAACAAACCTCTGTTTTACCTGCATGATGTTGTTCCACGAGCTCACCTGAAGTCAGAGAACACAGTGCAGGTGGAATGTGGTTTTTTACAGCTGAAGTCAGCTGGCTGTGATGCCAACACCTCAACACATTTAACCACAGTAAAATCCAAATGTGCTGTTAACAACCTTTCAAGAAACATGCAGACTAAAAATCCAAAGATTGTTTGCACTACACATTTTTAAGCCCCAAAGCTTAATAAAACATAAACATCTGCTAGAAAAGTACAACAGCACCTTCAATATTCTCTCCATCTTTAAAAATATTTTGTAGACAAACCTCCCAGAATATAAAGTACACCTCACACTACAATTTCCTGACATAAAATTTAATCAAGCTTCCAGCTCCTGCTGTAATTCCAAGAACCTGGGCACACCCAGTTCTCCCAGCATGCCCAGATTCTCTTGTCACATGGAAGGGAAATGAAGATTTGGGGAGCAGCACCGTGGGCACTCTTACCAACCTCCAGAGCTTCCCGGAGCTGCTGCTTCAGTTCTTCATTTGACACTTCAGTATTAGATTCTGTAAGATCAATGGAACATGATAAATGATAAAATATTGTAACATTTAAAGCAAAAAAAAGTTGGGATTTTACCCTCAAAACGGGTAACATACAAAGGTGAATTTTCATCTTTGTGTTGTGCGTTTCTCTTTTTCTTGTGGAGCTAATAAACAGATTTAAGAAACACATCACTACAAGCTTCAAACACATTGCTTCACAGTTGAAGAAGTGAAATGGGGGAGAAATGTCTGCTGTAAAGAGACATAAAGTAAAGGCAAACCTCTTATAACTTCCTTTAAAATAAAGCCAACAAAATTGTCATAATGATGAAAAAAAAATTAGTTGTTTAGATTATTTTCTGATTGCAACTTTTCAACACAGCTAGCACTATTTAGAAGTAGGGGCAATTTTCAGGAGGCAGAGATAGCTCAGCTTACTGTGGAAAGGATGACAGGGAATTGTTTAAAGGAGAGAAATAAGTAAGTTACACAGAAATACCTCAGTCACAATATTAAAGATTGACAGAAAAGCAGCCAGACTGTAATGAACGGCACTGCCTACATTTGATTGTTTTTACAGCAGCATTGCCTTCACAAAAAAAAAAAAGGAAGATGAATGCCAACGCAGGTTCTAAAAGCTACTTCCTAACCCCTAACGTCAGCCAATTCACTAATTTCAACTAAAGAGCAAAAAAGATTTCTAATATTTAGCTATAAACTTTAGGAACTGTCTGTAGGAAGATTTTAACTGACTTACAGCAGGAACCCAAGCAGTGCCACCCAATTTCACAGACACAGCCAAACCCATGCCGGTACACTCACCACAGGATGCTCTCTGATAAATGTTGCTTTCAAATGCAGAATTGAACACCTGAAAACTGGACGTTTTACACTAAGAATGGCCACTGCCTTCAACACCGAGAAGCAATGGTACTGCTCATGTTCTGGGAGGAAGCTGGAGGATCCCAGCCCTTGAGGGATTTTGGCAAGTGGTTCGAATTAAACTTGATGACACTTTGTGAGGCAGCTGAACGGTTCACTTCCACTAACAAAAACCTTTCGTATGGTGAATAATTAACTTCCAAATTACTCTTACCACAGCTATTCTGCCGTGTGGAGCTAGAGGCAGGTTTTTTGAGTGATCCATCGTAAAAGCTGTTCCGTTTTGGAGCAGGAATAGCTGCAGCATCACTTTCTTCTGCTACCTTTGCTGACAAGGGGGAATTACAAGTCTTTCCAGACCCCTTCCTAGATGTAACTGAATAGGAATTTTGTAAGTTTTCCCCTTCATAAACACCACCCGGTCTTCTTCCCAGTCCGTTTCCCAAGTCTCCACATGTCATGTCATCCTCTTCTGCTTCCTCCATCTTCTCCTCCCGGCTTTTTTTCAGCTTTTCCGCCGGTTTGGGGTTTTTTTCCGGACCGAGGGCCCGTCACCTCCCGGCGAACAGCGCCTCCCGCAAGGCCAGATTTCATCTGCAAAAACAGGAAAGCTCCGCGTTCACAGCAGCAGGGAGGGAAACGCGAGGCTGCGGGAGCCGGGGCTGCTGAAACCCCCGCGGGGAGACCCCGGCCCGGGGACACACCTGGGGGACACGCCTGGGGGGCACACCTGGGGGACATTCCCGAGGGGACACACCTGGGGGGCACACCTGGGGGACACACCTGGGGGGCACACCTGGGGGACATTCCCGAGGGGACACGCCTGGGGGGCACACCTGGGGGACATTCCCGAGGGGACACGCCTGGGGGACATTCCCGAGGGGACACACCTGGGGGGCACACCTGGGGGACACACCTGGGGGGCACACCTGGGGGACATTCCCGAGGGGACACGCCTGGGGGGCACACCTGGGGGGCACACCTGGGGGACATTCCCGAGGGGACACGCCTCGGGGACATTCCCGAGGGGACACACCTGGGGGGCACGCCTGGGGGACATTCCCGAGGGGACACACCTGGGGGGCACACCTGGGGCTGGGGGACACACCTGGGGGACACACCTGGGGGCGCCCCAAGGGACCCCGACCCACCTGCGCGCTGCCGGCGGCTCCCGGAGCGGTCCCGCCCCGGGGCGGCTCCGGGAGCGGCTCGGAAGGAGGGGTTTGCCCATTTCTGGTTTTTATCATTTATCGTAAATCATTCGCTGACTTTCCGTGGTTTTCATCCCCGGTTTTCATGACACGAGCTGCGGGGAGCAGGCACGGTCACCCCAATGTCCTCGCATTGTCCGGACACCCCGCACGATCCCCTCGCCTGTTCCCTACTCCAGGCAGCCTCTGCCCAGCTGCCACAATGCCTGGCCCGATTCCCACAGGAAACACACTGTTTTTCACCGTTTTGGTTCATAATATCATCACTTTACTGTTGCAGTATCGCTCCACAAGTGTCACCAAAAAAAAAAAAAACCCAAAACACCCAACAGCACATTTGGAACAAAAAATAAAGCTGTATATGTGTGACGACAACTCCCTTCACAACAGAATTTTTTAAGAAAGTTGTTTTACTACCCAAACTCGTGTAAATAAAGGGTTTATAAGAAGCACTTCCTACAGAATCTTTGACGAGGCTTTTGTTCCAAGCAGCATTTCTGTGAGGACAGGTTTCCTGTTCCTTGTGCAGCCCTGCCCCCCTGGGGCCCAGGCTCTAACAGCACTCAGAGCAGATCCTGCTGCATCTGTGACCGTGCTCGGGATCCCTGGGGCTCTGTCCCGACACGGCATGCCGCTCCTGGGCCATCCTCCATCACTGGGACAGGGCACGGGGAACACAGAGAAAAAAAGGAAAAATGAAGTTTGTTGTTTAACACTCCAGACCAGTGCTCGCATAACTGATGTCTCCTTACACATGAAGGAATCGCCAAAACCCCGTGCAATCGTTTTAAATTAACTGTCACATCACTGCTTTTCCCTCCAACACCTTACCCTGCACCACACCCTCTCACTCTGCATTGTCCTCACACACCCACAGTGGAGCACAGCAGGTTTAATCCCACAGCTCAGCATCAAACCAACTCCTTTCAGAACACTGTTCCAGCCTCTGGAAATCAAAACTGCCTCGCCTGCCACCTGTTACCAGATTTTACCGTTTTCTCACAGGGAATTCATAGCTTGGTTTCAATTGTAAGGTCTAAAGAATTCTCAGCTACTGAACACAGCTCCTGCTGCTGAGGCCAACCGCCTCATTGTCATCCTTTCAGTCACTTCTGTTGCATCAGTTTTATCAGTATCAGTTCTCCGTTGCCTCTCAGGGTGCTGTTACACATCCTCACAACGCGGCTACTCTGAACTTTCTTCTACTCCCCAGCCAGTTACAACAAAACTCACATTCATTTACAGTGCAAGAATTACAAACATAATTGATTAAACCCTCCCTCCCAAGAAGAGATCCAGCAGCTACTGTTTCACCAAAAGTCAGTTATTGTCCTTCATCCATTGTTCAATCCATTGCATACTCTGATCCAAATTTCTCTCTAGGTCCTCTGGAGTGTTGCTGGGTAACTGGTGCACAATTTCCTTTTTATAGGACAACACAGCTTCCTCATACAGAGTCTGAAAAATTTCGCACTGAATGTTGTCCTGCAGCTTCTTGCCCTTGTAGCCCCTGGAGAGAAAGAGCAGCAAGAGGCAGAGTGAGGCAAGAGGGAGGCTGAGTGTGGAGAGCCTGGTTCAAACATGGCTTAAACAAAGAGGCCGTAAAGGTATGCAGCTGATGGAAAAGTAAAAGGCTTATGTAGAAAGCAAAGGGAGACGACCCATCTTTGTTGTTGATCAGCATCGACTCCAATTTATTGATCAAATCAGCCACCTTTTATAACAGTGTTAATTAACTTCATGCATAGTGCAAAATTCGAGCTCACGATAGGCTACAGAGAAAACTCTAACCCCTCCTTTTGTTTACAATACCTGTGGTTTGTGTTCTCAAAACTTACTTTTTACTTTCCCAAAACAGCCAAAGATAGAATGTTCACCTGTTATGAGAAAACTGCCTGAGAACCCTGGTATGAAAGGCTCTCAAGGCCTCCATGTTTGTCACTTTTGCTTTCCCATACCTTATCCAAGGACAAGATATTTACTTGTTATTAAAAACAACCTGAGAACTTCTGCTGTTTACATAAACATGCCTGAGAATCTTGTTGTTTATAAAAAATGGTGCTTGAGAACCTAATTATTTACAGAATCAAGCCTGGGAACTGCTGCTTTACAGCTGCCTTTTACTTTTCCATCAGCTGTATACCTTTATGGGGGGCCTCTTTCTTTAAGCCATGTTTGAACCAGGCTCTCCACAGCTGAGGAGGGGTTTTGGGGGCAGAGCAGGGCCGCAGGTGCCACCACACCTGCCGTGCAGCCTGTCATACAGACGGGAGCTGTCCGTGCGCAGCACCAACACGATGTGGAACCAGCGCTCGGGGAAGAAGTCGCAGCCGTGGTAATCCACAATCACCCCTCCCTCGCTCATCCTGGCCTCCAGCTCGTCCACCACCTGCACACACAGACAGGGGAGAGGTCAGCCTCACCTGCACTGCACAGCCGGGGGGGATCGGCCTCACCTGGAAATGCACAGCCCCAGAGACAGAGAGGGGCGCACCTGCACAGCACAGAGAAACAGAGAGGGGGGCCTGTGGGAACCCACAAAATCAGAGGGTTTGAGAAAGCTGCAGAAGGCAGGCCTCAGAGATAGCAGAACTGTGAGTGGAGCCAAGCAGCAGCCATGAGATTGGGCAGCAGAAAAATTATTTAAACTGTAGAAAAGCAAGGACAAATAGAGCAATGGTCTGTGTATTAATGCTTGTCTAGAATAACTCCCTAAGCTACAGAAAAGTTTATCTAGCAAGATATTAGGAAGGTTGAAGCTTAATAACGGAGCTCTGTGCATTGTGTTTGAGGGCTCACAAGCAGGTATTGCATTTGAAATAAGCCAGCACTGTTTAACCAAAGGTACCTGTGCTCACAGTGGTTGGACAGAACTACTGTCAATATAGAATATACACTGTACAGATATAAATACTGTCAGTGTGCTTTTGCTTTGTGTGGTTGGTCACAAAGCTCATAAAGTGAGTTGTGACATTGAGTTCTGTGTCTGCTGCCTGGGATGTGAGCTGCTGGCACCTTCCCATTGCCATAGCCATGGACTGAGAGTGATGCTGGAAAATCAAACAGCTCCAGGCAGTTCCCAACAGCCCTGTCCTGTTTGTGGTCTGTGCAGAGACCCCGGCTGGTGACAGGGGCTCCCCTGCACTGCACAGAGAGCACGAGGGGTGGCCCTGGGGCTGCACTCACCCTGTCCTCATCCAGGATGGGGCACTCGTACTCCTCATCAAAGCCTTCATACAGCTCTCCTGCAGCACAGAGAAATCACAGCTATTTGCTGGGCACCACAGCAGTTGCTACTATTAATTTACCACAATAATTCACAATTCTGTAAAAAAATTACATTTTTGTCTCGGGAGATGGCAGGCAAAAGGCAGAGTTCAGTGTAGGGCACATTTTGTTTACAAATCCATACAAGGATAAGTTTGTCATTTATTACTTAGCACCAAGAGTGCTGCTACAGACATGCCTGCTGAAGTAAATTCATTTAATGCACAGCACCACAGGTTGGTTTGGGGTGGAAGGGACCTCAAACCCACCCAGTGCCAGCCCTGCCATGGCAGGGACCCCTCCCACTGTCCCAGTGTCCAGCCTGGCCTCGGGCAGTGCCAGGGATGCAGGGGCAGCCCCAGCTGCTCCGGGCACCCTGTGCCAGGGCCTGCCCACCCTGCCAGGGAACAATTCCTCATTGCCAAGATCCCGGCCAGCCCTGCCCTCTGGCACTGGGAGCCATTCCCTGTGTGCTGTTCCTCCATCCCTTGTCCCCAGTCCCTCTGCAGCTCTCCTGGAGCCCCTTCCGGATCTCCCCGGAGCCTTCTCCTCTCCCCCAGCCCAGCCCAGGCACCCCAGACAGGCGTGCAGGGGCTCCCGGTGCCCGAGGCAGAGCAGCAGGGTCCCGGCCAGCAGCGTGTCCCCGTGTCACAGCTCGGGGCTGCTGTCACACAGCACCTTCCTTGGCCAGGTCCCCCACGTTGACGTAGCTCAGCCCAGCTCTGGAGGCCAGCTCCTTTCCCAGCGTGGTTTTCCCAACTCCCGGCGTGCCTGCAGAACAAAGCACGGCCAAAGGTAAGGGGAGAGCTGCAGGTCTCCACGGAGAGCCCCTGCCAGGCGACCTGGAGCCTTCTGACAGCCCACACCGGAGAGTTCATGGGTTGAAAAGGGCAAAAAGCTGCGGGACAAAGGGAAACAGGCGAGGGGAGTGAAACGGGAAAGCAGGGAGAAAACTCGGGCTGTGAGCAGGAACGTCACTCCCAGCGTGCGGGACCCAAGGGAAATCCGCACCCCAGGTAACACGGAGCAGCCGCGCGTCCTCATGACGGAGGAGAGCTGCAAAGCCACCCCGGGCTGCACCCACACCCCGGAGCAGCGAGGCTGCTGCCTCGCACCGGAACCGCCCCAGGCTCTGATGGGGCCCGGGCCCCGGAGCCCAAATCCCGCCGGGCTGGAACCCCGCGCCCCGAATCCCCTCGGGCCGGGCCAGGGCTGGGACCGCAGGGAGCGCACAGCCGCAGCTCCCCGGGCCGCGATGGGTCCGTGTCCCCGGTGCTCCCCGGTGCCCACCGGTGATGAGCAGGTTGGGCCGCCTCATGGCCGCCGCCCCTCGCCTTGGAGACACGTGCGCAGGGGGCCTCCGCCTCCGCCGCGCGCGCCGATGGCGTCACCGCGCGCGCCCGGCGCGGCGCGGACAGCTAAGAGCCGGCGGGGAAGAAGGACCCCTGTGCGACGGTGTGAGGGGACGCGGCCGCGCCGGGCCGGGAGCGCAGCGCCGGCAGCGCCCGGGACAGCGGCACACCGGGACGGGGCACACGGGGCCCTTCCTGCCCCCGGAGCCGCTCCGAGTCCCGGGGCTCCCCCAGCCGAGGATGTCCGGCAGCGGCCCAGGACGGCCGGCGGAGGTGGGTGTCATTTATTAAAGAATGTTTATTCTTTGTAAGTAAGGGGTCTCGGCGGCCGGGTCGTTCATCCGTGGGTTCGGTGTTTGTGCTGTTTCAGGGGGGGTTGTTCTGATTTTTTCTGGGAGGGATTCGGTTTGGTGTCACTGCGTGTGGGGGGGGACACCAAACCGAATCCCTCCTAGTAAAAACCAGAGGGGCTCTGGTTTTTAAATTTCACAGGGGCGTTGCGGGTGGTGGCTGCAAATTCCTCCTTAGGCGGTGAGTGTGGCAGTGACGGTGCCGGGGCCGCCGCTCTGTCCCGGGCACGGAGCGAGGGACAGACACAGATTGTTAGGGAAGCTCCGTCCGAGTCACAAGGTGCGGGAGGGACCCCTAAAACCTCCCGTAAGCCACCCCACACCCCTGACTTCCCAAACTGTCAGAGAGGAGACTGGAACCAGTGCTGGGAGGTGTTAATGGCAGTGAGCAGTGCCGCAGGTAGCAGCAAGACACGGCGAGACGTGTACGGACATATCTGAGAAAGAGATCTCCAGGAAAGGACACGGATCTGGGCACGGTCCCAGTCACAAGGGGGAATCTCAGAATCTCAGATCCAGTCTGTGCAGTGGGCAGCTCCAGGCTAGGGCACGACCTGCCTCTCACACACAGAAACATCCGAGAAGCAGCCACGTAATGTACTCTGAGACAAGCGGACTTTTCCTGTCAAAGTGGACTTTTTCCTTTCATTTTCCTGAATCTGCAGAGGCTCCTGCTCCCCTGGGGTGGCAGGAGCCACCTCTGACAGTGTTCCCTGCCTCACAGAGGCTCCCTGGGCTCTCAGCCCGGGGGGATTTGGGGTGTAGGTCTGGGCCCCATCACAGCCCAGGGTGGTCACATTGTGAGGAGGAGAGACCCCCCAAAACCTGCCATAATCCACCCCACACCCCAGCCTCCCAACCCCTCAGAGAGTGCAGCTGGGTGTGCTGCCAGCCCCACAGCTGGCCAGAGGGACGGCGCTGCGCAGGTGGCACTGAGCCTCTGCTGCAGCACTGGGGCTGCCAAACAGAGACGTCTGATAACAATTAGACACAGAGATCTTAGCCAGAATTGTTCACAGGCACTATCACCACAGCTGCCTGGCTTGCTTTCATTTCCATCTCTCTTATAGTTTCTATATTCTCAAAAAAAAGTGCCACATACTGAAGGCTACACAGAGACAGTGCAAGCATTACCATCGTATAAAAGTGGTCTGAGTAAGCTGACACTGCTTTTCCATTAATTTTTAACTAGGTTGGATGTGTGTCTGTGGAGTCCTCACCTTGTTGTGATTTGCCAGTTTGCTGCAGAATACTCCTGGCGTAATGATGCAGCTTTCTTTTTCATGCAGACGAATCACAGAACCCCAGAGCGGCTGCGGTTGGAAGGACCAAATCCCACCCATGGCAGGGACACCTCCCACTGTCCCAGGCTGCTCCAGCCCCAGTGTCCGGCCTGGCCTCGGAAAATGTGCCATTCTCCAGGGGTGGCTGTGCCCGGCTGAGGGCAGGAGGGCGCTGCGTTGCTAGCCCCGGGTTTGTGTTCCTGCAGGTGGCAGGGTGGCTGGCACGTCCCTTTGACGGCTTCCTGGGGAGCGCGGGCCCGTGTGCCGCCGCCGCCGCGAGGCCGCGCAGGGGCGGCGCCGGCAGAGCCCGCGGGCAGCAGCAGAGAGCCCCGAGCCCCGCGGCAGAGAAGAGCCGAGCCGCGGCTCCGCGCAGGAAGAGAGCCAAGCCGGGAGCTGCGGATCCGCCCTGCGGCCAGGCCCCGCAGGAGCTGCCGTGGGTGGAGAGATACCGGCCCGAGAGCCAGGTGTGAGAGCTGTGCCGCTGCCCCAGGCTGCCCCCACACCCCCTCTTGCTAGCGTTCAGAAACACACAATCACGGGGGATTATATGCTTGTTATTGCGAGCTCTGGGAATCGGGTATATTCAACCCAAATCTGACTCCGACCATACATCCGAAATGATCATGTTTTATGCTCTATCGTTACATAACTTTCATGTTAATTATTAAACTTATATTGTTCTGTTGTATACATAAATTTAGCCCCTCTCTGAATTTCCAACATAGTTTCTCACTATTCTTCTTATGGCTATATAATAATTACATTTAATTACTAAACAATCATCACATCTAACAATTATATAATTTATCATACTGCTTACGCAGGTGCAGTTGATCTGGGAAAGCACAAAGCCTAACATTTTAGATTCTATCTTTAACTTTTTCCAGGGTTCCACTATCACTCTGATGGAGCACAGGGCTCCTGGGTCACTGCACTGTCAGTGCTGGTGGATTCGCTGCCTCACACACCCCAGAGAGCGCTCTCTCTGTGGCAGACACGCTGGCTTTCCCAGCAGCTTTCGAGGTGTTGTTTCCTGTCAGTCCACTTGTAAACTCTCAGACCTGTTACTGAATTCCAGACACATCTGGTATTCCAAGCACTGGGGAAACACAGCTATGTGGGATTTGCGGAGCTTGAAAAAACCTCTGCAGCATCAGAGTAGGAAAAGTAAAGAGGACTAGCTCCAGCAATGTGGGATTTGCAGAAGTTACAAAACCCTCTGCAGTAGAGTAAAAAAAGTACAAGACTAGCTCCAGCAGGAGCCATGGAGTATCCTGACACAGACAAGATTGTAGTGTTACCACTTAAACAATAATAAATAGCTCATTATTTCCTGACTACAAGGAATGGAAAACTGATTGTTTGAGGAAACAGGGTGATCATCCTTAACTGTGGCAGTGCTTCTGCAGGGCACACACATAACTGGAACACACACCAGCATGTCTGTTGATATTTTATCCGGCATTTATTCTATTTTTTAATTTCATCATTAGAAACTAAGAGTTGTGTATATATATATATATATATATATATATGTATGTGTATATATATATATATATGTATGTGTATATATATATATATATAAAACTTTCACATATTTTAACCTTGTTTCAGAATGACCTTGCTGTGCAAAAGAAGAAAATTGAGGAAGTTGAAACCTGGTTAAAAACACACATATTTCAGAGGCAGCCAAAACAGGTAAACTTGCTAAAATTGTAACTGGAGGCATCAAACCATACAAACGATGGATGCAATTTCAGCTTCAGAGAGAAACCTCAGCTGAGGGAGATAGTGATTGTGTATCATTGTAAGAAATACTGTAAGAACATGGGTTAGAGGTCATACATTTATTTTGGGCTTAAGCTCCTAAGGGGTGGATTCTGATTTTGCTCAGAAATACTGTTTTCTGGCATCCAGTCATAAATCACAACTATTCAGTATGTGCTTGAAGCTGCATTTGATCTGCCAGGTTGATTTTTAAGTCTCGTGACACATCTCCAGTTGCACTGAGCTGGTGTAAGGATGGTGAGGATGTTTTTAATTTCAGTTGATAAGAGGCATTCTTAGACACAAATTGCCAGCCTTGCCTGGTGTTTTCCAGAGCTGGTTCTTCAGGTGAGTGTCTGCTGTGTTGGCAGTCACATGCAGTTTATTTACCAGAGGCAGTAGGAACTGAGCAAGGGTCTCAGAGTCCTGGCCTGGTTCTCTCTGTCTGAGCACTCAGCAGGTGAATTCACAGCAGAAGATGTGTGGCTGGGGTTTCACTGGGAGGGAGGATCATTGCCAGAGAAACAGGAAAAGCTCAACCAGTATTAATCCTTAGCCAGCGGTCAGTCTTAATTTGTCACATCTGTGATTGTGTTTTCTATCTCTGTGTCAGGGTGGCTCTGTCTTGCTGCTGACTGGCCCTCCTGGCTGTGGAAAAACAGCAACTCTGCACATTCTAGCCAGAGATCTTGGCCTTCAGGTGCAAGAATGGACCAATCCACTCTCTCTAGACTTCACAAAGGAAGACTTGAGGAGCATGTTTGGCCACGGCAAGTATTTTGGGGGTTTATCTTTTTAACCTTTTATTTCCCCTTCCAGTTACTTTTGTGGGTTTTCTGTCTTGTATTTTTGCTTCATTTCTGTCTGTCACGTATGAAATCAGATCCACGTCCATGTAACTCCATTCCTTAGTGTTTAATTAGAATCTTTCTGAGGCTTTTATCTGGAAGGGGATTTAGGTTTTTTTACAGTGTTTCATCCAAAATAATTGACAATTCAAATCAGTATAGAGACCTCTGTAATAGCCTGGATGTAATCTGGACCAAATAAATAAAAACAGGTAAGTGTCTCTGTCTGGGTTCTCAATTGAATTACACCCCTTTAAAAATTCTCCTGTGTTTGTCACATATTTGCAAAAGGGCTTGTTCAGTGCTGCTGTCAGAAAATAGCATGGGTGGGTATTAGCTCGTGTGGGTATTTATATTTTACTTGGCATAATATAGAATACATATTTTTAATTAGTTTTCTTTTTCAGACTCAAATTTTCATACGTTTCCGAGTCAGGCCCAAGCAGCTCTCTTTCAAGATTTTCTATTAAGAGCAAATAAGTATAACAAACTTCAGATGCTTGGGGAGTCCTCAGAAAATGATAAAAAGCTTATTCTTATTGAAGTAAGTGAAAACTTGTGCAATGTTGTGTTTCAAACAGTACCTTTTGTTGTAGTATTGGCTTGCTGACTAGCCTCAGATACTGGATTGGTGTTTCCCAAAGTTAGCCTGCTTTACTGCAGGTGAGATCTTCATTGCTGTTTGTGTCTCTGCAGCAGTCTAGAGCCACGTCCTGCCTGTAGTTAGTCATGCCGCAGAAGCAAGTAGTGAGGCAAAAATGGGAGTCTGGTGTGAGCACAGAAATGCATAACGGAGTATCAAAAAGTAGATCCACGTTGAGAAGTCATTCCCACATTTCTGGATTATTTAATTTCTAGAAGTATGTATGTGTATAAACAGGAAGAGTGGAAAACACACCACTGTTCCTGTTCCTTAATGATGCAGGAGGGGGTAGGGTACACTTGAGAATGAACACAGGCAGGCGCAGTTGAAATTTAGCACTTTCTGCCTGGTTTTACACAGGTGGTGTTGTTCAGGGCACAGGTGTGAACTGAGGGATGTGGGCAGGTACAGGACAAGGCTTTTATTTGTACTTGCGTAGAAGTGTGCTTCAATAGCAACTTCTTTCTGAACTTTTCAATTCTTTTCCCAAGAGAAATTTTAGAAATTGGTAGTAAGGTTGTCTGTAAACTTTCAAGACCAAACCAGACAGATATTCTGGCAGGGTAATGTGATGTACTGTAGAATTTAGGAAGTAGATTCTCTGAGATTTATTTTTATTCAGTCACCTTCTTGTGCCTGTCCTGTCACACCTCAGATGGGTCCTGCCCTCTTCCCTAAGGGAGCTGCTTCCTGGAGTGTTTGTCCTCTGGGTGAGACTCCTGTCCACAGGCAGTGTCATCACCCAAGGCTGTGTCTTAGGGAACTGAGACAGCAAGAAATCATTGCTGCGTAGATGATCCTTTTCCTTAATGAGACACACTGTGCTTTGGGTTTGTTTCCCTGTGCTGCTCCTCTGTCCAATGTCAGCTGTGTTTAAATGTAGTTGACAGCAAGCAAACCAGGAGTTAAAAATGTGTGGCAATGTAGTGTGCCATGAAGATCAGTCTGTGGAGGAGAGTATTTACATCTGCGTGCCATGACAGCAGCTCTTTGTTTTGGACAGGACATTCCTAACCAATTCTACAGAGATCCTGGCAGCCTGCATGAAATCCTCAGGTCAGTGGCAAACAAGTTGTTAATTGTGAGCTTTAGCAACCTGCAAAGCTGCAGCTTGATATTAATCACGTTTTGTTGTTCTGCTATGCAGGAGTTTTGTTCGCAGGAGTAGGTGCCCCCTGGTCTTTATAATCTCAGATAACTTCAGTGGAGACAGCAACCAGAGGTCCCTGTTCCCCGCTGAAATTGTAGAGGAGTTGTGTATATGCAATATTAGGTGAGACCTTCTACTTCATTAAAACATGGTACAGATAACTGAGAGGTTAGAAACTAATTAATTTTTTTTTAATGGAATTCAACAGTTTCAAGCCTATTGCACCAACAAATATGATGAAAGTTCTCAATCGAATAGCTGCAGCAGAAGCCAGTATGGTAAGTTTTCAAAGTTCTTAACTTCTGGGCAGGGCTAGGACCACGTAAAAATATGTCATTTTTGTTGCTGTATTTGATCTTTGATAGCAGAACCCCACATCTGCCCAAAGACAAAAAAACGCTTTTTCCCCAGGGCACCAGAAAGCAAGGAACAAGCTGGAAAGATACCTTGTCTTTAATATTAGTTTCACTTGATCTGTGGTCCAAGTCCACCAAATTGCTTCTGAAAATTACTCTGGTTATTACAGTAATTACATAAATGAAACAAATAATAGGAAGAGATATAATCTTTCATGTGTCCAGCAAGGCCAGAAGAGGTCACGAACCTAAATCTTCTGTTGTTCCTGAACTGTTTTGATTACAAGCAGTATCATATTGAGTGACACCTTGCAAAGAATTATGTACATTTTTCTCTTTAATATTGTTATATAAATTGTGACAGTATGCTTAAACAAATTAAGTTTTTTAAAGTTCACAGTATTCCGTATTTTGAGCACATGGTGGTTCCTCATGTGTCTGTTCGTGGTGTGTGTCAGGGATGGGTTCCCAGAGCCATGTTTAAATACTCCTTTTCCTGCTCTTGTATTGCTTTGAATATTGCTGTTTTTCCTGTTTCTTCTATTGCTGTTTTTCCTTGTAGAACAGAGAGAATTACACCCTTGATAGAACTTCTCTGGAGTTGCTTTGCAGGGGCTGTTCAGGTGACATAAGAAGTGCAATAAACAGCCTTCAGTTTTCCTCTACAAAAGGTAAAAATTAAGCTTTTGTTAGGTGGAGTGATATTTTGACCATTTCTGCTGAAAACAGGTTCTGTTCACAGCTGCAGCACAGGTGGGTGAGTTGCAGAAACATTCTGGACACGCTTCTGTGGAGCAGGAATAAACACAGGGTGTGTGGGGGCGTGAGTGGGGCTCAGCTGCTGCAGGCTGGGCTTAAACCATGACACATGTGCATTGTGCTGATGTGATTTGAGTAAATGCCCTCTTTTCCTCCTGGTATCTCTGCTATTTGTGTTGGCTGTTCAGAGTTTATATGATGCTGCCTTAGTTTGACAGGGATACTTTCATTGCTTGGTTTCTGCATTTCCTAAACTGCTGATTTTGTCAGCATTTTTCAAGTCAGTAGTTGTTAAGGAATGGGTGTGTGTGAGTTGCACTTCTAAAAGTTGCACTCTGGCGTGTTTGTTCATTCTCAGCTCTGTGAAATGGTGACATCATTTACATTAAACTTAGGCCTAAGGAAACAGACTCACCACTTGTCTTCTGCTGTATGTGGTGGAGCTAGTAATGGTGTTGTTAATGTCACACTTCTTTTTCCTCCCATTTGCTTTGCAAATAGCAAATGTGCTCATGGAATACGAGATTAAAGGTAGTTTCAAGCCCGTTTTTCAAGAGGGAGAGTTTACTTTGAGTTTCAGGGTATACTGAAATTAGATGGGCAGTGTTAGTTACGTTACGCAAGGCAGAGAGTCAAGTTTCTACATTTAACTTGCAGATGTTGAAGGTCAGTTATTCTGATGATGTCTTCAAGTGTACCAGGCTTGGATTGTTCTGTGTGAATCACAAAAACAGAGGATTGCTCTCAGCAGGATGATGATGCCATTAGAATGAGTGAATATTAGATTGGTGGTATCTGAGAAAAGCATGCAGCGTCTCACTGCTGGACGCATCCTCCAGAAAATCTAAATAATGTTAAAATAACCAGTTTGTGTAGTTTTAAATAAGTTTCCTTAGAAATGTAAAACCATGATAGTTAGAGCTGGGGAGAAAATAAAGGCTTGACTTCAGAGCTTTGGTGTGTGAACTTTGGAGTGCACACTAAGCATTCTCCTCTCACATTTTCCCTAACATTGAGAAGATGTTTGAACAGAACATCTGTGGCTGTGCAGGTATTTCAGTGAGGTGAGTGATTGGTATTTCAGTGAGTTGGGTGATACTGTGCAAGTTTGGGAGATTCTTCCCCATCTCCCTGCTGGTCTCCTGAGCATGCAGCATTTGTTTTTATGAGCATAAAGTGTGTTTCTTCATGTGTGTATCTGTGTAAGCACCATCGATACATTCATTTTGTAACACTATTAATGGGTAAAATACATCCATGGTAATTGTGGGAGAAAAGGAAATAAACACCTAAAGGATCATTTATCTTAGCTCAGTAAGGAACATTCAAGTGCCACAAAATGAAATAGTGGGTGAAAATGTTCAAGTTTATTAACTTAGAGTAGAATAAGGGTTTTATTTCATGAGGTTCAAAACTTTGTCGCAGATAGTGGGCAATTGAAAGAATCATCTAAATAAAAGGTTTTCTTTGCCACTTTATATTTCAGGGAGGGAGGTTATTGTACAGATAGTGCCAGTAGGAGACAAAATTGATAAGTAAGCAGGATGTAACTGAAATAACAGTATGTAACTGAAATATAATTTACAAATATTTGTACTTGTGCTTTTAAACATGAAATTTAAACATGGTCAAGTGGGGAATGTGTCAAAACTTGAAGGGATAAGCCTGAAGGCTATTTTCAAAGACAGCTGTTTGTTGTTCAGAAAAGTACTTGGTACCTCAGATGTGGCTCAAGGGACAGAAGTGGAATTAAGCTAATGAGTGATGCTAATTTAGGTGACTGACTAATAAATGAGTTTTCTCATAGTGCTCCCATTTATATAGCCTGTTGTGTTCCTTTTATTAGTACTTTTCCTTTTATTAGTACTATTAGTTCCTATTCCTATTCCTTTTTCCTTTTATTAGTACTATTAGTTTGTTCACACAGAACATTAGCAGTGGCATTATAGAAAACTCTTGCAGAATCATGTACTCTGTCTTGATTTTATTTTTTATTTTATTAATAGGCTGCTCATTGGAGAAAGAATTTTGGTCAAAGAAGAAGAAGAGCTCCACAATAAAATGTGATGAAACAGGAGTATCCAAAGTAAGAAAGAAAAGTAAATGTGATACCTCAGAAGACCAGGAGATACAAGCAATTGGTGGCAAGGATGCATCCATTTTTCTTTTCCATGCTCTGGGGAAAATTATTTATTGCAAAAGTAAGACAACTTTGAGTTATTCTCCCTTTCAATGGGCAAAGCACGTCAGCTGCTATTAGCTGGAATTGCTAAAGTAAGGCTTTGGATGGGTTCTGTCTGGGATGTTTGGTCAGTCACAACAGCACAAAATCAGCTACATCAGGGTCCCTCATGCCACTGGCTATGCACATTTTGGTGGTAATTCCCAGTACTGGCTCCAAAACCAACTGAGGAGAAGTACTGAGGTGCGGGAATACAAAAATTATGTTGTTAGGTTTGTTATATGAAGCTTAATGCAGCTAATTGTGTGTTGATGACTGTGTAGTATTGACTATAATAATTAAATACCTGTGTCTGTCCCAGGGCTTACTGGGATGGAAAAGGCTGTAATTTACTGCTGGTGGAGCTGGCAGTTGCCAACATTTGTGAACATAAAGCCTGTGCAATCCTTTTCAGGAGAGGCAGCGTCAGAAGCAGAGTGCCCTCAGCTGCCTGCCCACCTGTCTGCACAGCGCCGCGACCCCTTGCTCATCCAGCCTGAGGTACTGCTGCAATGGCCCAGGAGCTCGGCTGGGCCCCACAGGAGAGCTGCAAGTGCTCAGCCGCATGGGGCTCCTTGCTGCTCCCACCTGGTGTGCCCTCAGTCTGGGTCAGGGAATCACTCCCCAGCCCCTTGTGTCTGGGCATCGCTGCACGGGATTTGTGTCCCAGCTCCCTGACCTACATGTATCACAGCTTTTTGTACAAGGGTCCTTTTCCTTACCCCCCTGTAAAATCCAAACTCTTCTTCTTCCTGACAGGAAATTGTGGAGAAATCACATATGTCTGGAAGCATGTTCAATCTATACCTTCACCAGAACTACGTGGACTTTTTTTCTGACATAGATGATGTAGTGAGAGCCAGCGACTATTTGAGCACTGCTGATGTCCTTTGCAGCAACTGGAGTGTAAGTGTCATCTTTGTATAGGCACACACTTGTCTTTAAGTGCTTTGATATTGAGCTCTCAACTTTTCACTGCATTTTTGGGAATTTGCTGCAAACTTGGGGTGTGAGTGATTTGAATTGTTAATGAATGCTGAAGTACATCAGCTGCAGAAGAGATGCAGAGCCAATGTTTTGTCCAGCTTCTGTCAGCATTTTACTACAATGGGTTGTAGTGTTTGTAGGATACTCTACAAAGTATTTTTGAGTAGAATATGTTTGTACTAAGAAAAGGAATCAAGCTGTTTCTTTTCTCAGCTGCTTTGAATACCAGTTTTGCAGTAATCTAGGCTGCAGAGGGCTGTGCACGCTGTGTGTGTTTGGGTGCAGATGAGCTGCCTGGAGCTCACCCAGGGCCCCGTCTGTCCCTCAGGCACGGCTGGTGATGGAGAGCTACAGTGCCTCCGTGGCCACGCGCGGGGTGATCCACTCCAACACCTCCAGGGCCTTTGCCCACCAGCAGGGGGGCATGGGCTTCCGACCCCTACACAAGCCACAGTGGTTTCTGATCAACAAAAAGGTAAAGCCTTCGTTTGTTTTTTCTTAATTCTTTTTTCCCTAAGGTGTGACTGTTGAGTAGTGTACATCAAATGTGATCACCGACTTGCTAAACTTGTCAAATAATGTGACGGCGTTCACAGGGATCTTAGGATGAGGGGAGAGATGAGGATCTGACCCCATGTTTCACAAGGCTGATTTATTATTGTATTATATATGTTACATTAAAACTATACTAAAAGAATAGAAGAAAGGATTTCATCAGAAGGCTGGCTAAGAATAGCATAAGAAAAAATGATAACAAAGGCTCTGTCTCAGACTCTCTGTCCGAGCCAGCTGACTGTGATTGGCCATTAATTAGAAACATCTAATATGGGCCAGTCAAAGATCTACTTGTTGCATTCCACAGCAGCAGATAACCATTGTTTGCATTTTGTTCCTGAGGCCTCTCAGCTTCACAAGAGGGAAAAATCTTAAAGAATAGATTTTTCATTAAAGATGTCTGTGACAAAATACCCTATTTTGAGATAATCTGGTTCTATAAAGCACTTGCTAGAAGAGCAGTTTGCATCACTCCTTTAATGTAAAAATAAATTGGAGGCCAGTGACAAAATCTGATGCCTGTGTCCAAGCTGGCATGTTCCTGGGAGAGTGTTAATCCTAAATTAATAGAGAGACAACTAAGTGCTGTTAAGTGTTCCTAGAACTGAGTCTGGTTTTGTGCAGTTTGAAGCACATTGAACTGTTGTATAAGTGTAAGAAATGCCTGCTCTTATGGTTTATGTGTTTATCAGAAAGAGCTCGTTCAGGTGACAGAGCAGGTCTTGGCATTTTTTTACTTTTGAACTAATACATTGGCAAAAAACATTGGCAAAAAACATGGGCCTGGATGGGCTGAGAATTCTATAATCAAGGAATACTTTTTTTTTTTTAATTTTAATGCCCAGTAAAAGGCAAATTTGAAGGATTCTACCATTTTAAGATGGGCATGTTAACTGGTTACCTTTTCTTTATCTGGTCTCATTTTTCAGTAGCTCCCTGTAGCAGGCAGGAAGAAAGTCTGTGTGTTATGGTACAGAACATCTACATTCTTAATGTTTTACCTGTTTTTTCACTTGTGTTCCCCCCACCCCCACCTCTTACAGTATCAGGAAAATTGCATTGCTGCAAAATCCCTGTTCTCAAGCTTCTGTTTACCACCTGAGTGCCTTCAGACAGAGCTGCTGCCTTACCTTGCTATGTTAGCAAACCCAATGAGAAATCAAGGTAAGATGGATCAAGGTAACTCCTGGTCTTGGAGTGTTTTTGCAGTTGAAACAGACTGACAGATTTCACAAGCCAAAAGGTCAATACTGTTTATGTTTTTGCCTCAGCATAAAACATTCTCCTGGCAAATGTTATGTAGGTGATGCCCAAAGATGCTCCCAGTACCAGAGCCAAAATTAAAGCTGCCCTGGTAGGTTGGTCAAACTGCAGTGGTTAAGGTGCTCCCTAGATTTAGGGCTTTGAGAAGAGTTTTGGAAACCCAGCAGCCAATACTGACTGGATCTCCATTGCTTACTGAGACCCTTCTGAGAAGACAAAGGACTCTGCATGATTCAATGCCAGTCAAGCAAAAGCCATTTATTGTGCCTCTAAACATTATTTATATTCACTCTTGTCCTGGTCTACACAGTCATGCATTGTTTAATTGGCAGTTCTGCTTTGTCCACAAGGCAAGCACGCATCCTTTTATTAATCCAGTTGGTAGAAGCTGTAAGAATCATTTTACTGGGGTTGACACCCCTGTGTCTGCCAGCAACTGTTCTGCCTCTTCTTTCTTCTTGCAACATCAATTTTTTTATCCACAAAGATGACTCCTTCTTTAGTTTCAGAAGGTTGGGCTAGTTCATTTAGTACACATCCATGTTCCTGTGAATATGATCCTACACCTTTCCAGTAACAGCAACACACAACAGCTCAAAAAAGCCTTTCAGAGATAAAAGAAGCAAAATTCCAGTTTGCAGTGCATAAAAAAAAAAAACCTAAATCAATCTGAGATAATCCATTAGCAAACAGTTCGTGCAGAAAAATTTACTTTGTGTGGTACATAATGCAAAAATTAGTATTTAGAGAGCTGGGTCACTTATTTAATGTTAATTGTTTATAATAAAAAGCATCGTGTCTTAGCTAAGGCCTTGACATCAGAATGAGTGATTTTTGTAGGCTGTGGAATAACAGCTCTACATGATAAATACACAAGGGACAAATGTCAGGGATTTGCAATGTTGTGTGTAGGCCGTCTGTAAATATGCTGCGGTAAACTGTAACAGTTTGTGGGGGGCAAAGTTACATACACAGTGTTATGGTATCTAAAATATTTCAAATGTGTACAGGAACACTCAGCTAAGGCCAGTGTTTATTTTCTGGTATGCCCAGCTGTCTGCTCATTATGATCTACCTGATATGATACTGGTGGCTCTTTGTTCTTAGCTCAGATTGCTTTTATCCAAGACGTGGGGAGGCTGCCACTGAAAAGACATTTTGGGAGGTAAGCTGAACTTGTGTCTGCAGTTAAAAAGTGTCGTATGTCAAGGGGAAGAGCCCTTTCATTTACATAAGTCTGTGATGTGACATTCAAAGACAAAATATTTTTAAAGGTTTATTTAATCTGAAATCAGATAGCTGTACTGATTTCATCTGGTAGAAGTTTTGCCTATAAGGCTACTTAGAGTGAACCTTTGTTGGTGTGGTTTTAGCAAAGAATCAAGTTCACAGCTGCAGTGAGACAAACTGTTATCTCCTAACTAGGACAGAGTTTGTTGAGGCTTCTGACAGAGCATCTCCTATTTGTCCCTGGTGTTGCTGCTGAGTTTAACTGTGAATTTCCAAGCTTTCTTTCCCTGTTCCCCAGCTGTTGCATTAAAAGCCATTTTGGTTGTTAGTCAGGGAGGAAGGAGAGTGTCCCTAAGGGGGTGTATTTCTTTGTAATCCCCTTGGTCTGTGCCACAAGGTGTGACGTTCCTCAAATTAACTGTAACTTCCTTGTCCCTTTTAAGTTTCCCTGCAGCTTGCCGGTTGTTACTGACATTTTGTATCTGCATTAATAAGCTGGTGGGGTGTCACAGTGTCTGATCCGAGGGGTGACACCATGCTGACAGCACCGTGATCCTTTTCATCTGTTCAGTAGTGCAGAGAAATGCAGGTGTCCTGCTAGGGAGCACAGTGTGTTCCTGGGCACTGCCTCTGCTGGAGGGAATGAGGCACAGGGAGCAGCCTGTGCCCTGCTCAGGGGCTCAGGGAGCAGCCTGTGCCCGGCTCAGGGGGCTCTGGAGCAGCCTGTGCATTGCTCAGGGTGCTCCCCCGTGCTCTGCAGGCTGCAGCTGGAGGCTCTGGGTGACAAGGACCCCGGCGTGCCCGAGCTGTCCCACGGCGACGGCGACCCCGAGGGGCTTCCCTCCAGCCAGTCCAGCGGCAGCGACCTGCCCAGCAGCCAGCCCCAGCCCGTGGCAGCCCAGGCCCTCCTGGAGGAGGAGGAACTGAGGATCGAGGAGTACGACAGCGACTGAGAGACCGCGACACGCCCCGTGCCTGCAGCGCTGCCCAGCCGGGCTCCAGGGCCGGCCCGAGCCCCTCCTGCCTCTCCTGAGCCATGGCACTGCCCGAGGGCGGTCACCAGAGAGAAATAAAGGACTGCAATCAGCTTGAAAGCGACTAGAGATGCGCAGTTGTCAGCCTTAAATTATTTGTATTTTTACACGTTTTAATATACTTTGCAGTTGTGCAGTGCGTTTCCTGAGTACACATTCCATAAGCTGTCAGCATTTGGAGGGTTTATTCAAATTCACACTCTCAAAAAAAATGCTGCTTGGAAGTTGAGCCCTTCTGGAAAGAGGAGGCTGAAATTTACACCTAAAAAGTTACCATACTGATGATGTAAAGAAAACTTCTACTGTATTCATACTGTTTTGTACTCTGACTTACAGAAGACATAAATAATATCTTCATGTCTTTATAAGTGGAACAAATGTTGTACCATGGATTATTTTGTATTCCTCTCGGAAAATTTTTTTCATAACTTTTAGAGGGGAAAAGGCAGCAAATAAGCACAAGTTGTACTTTGTAGGAAGTTAAATGTATAACGTGCAGTTTTTCTCCTTGGCTTGCAATTGTGCTGGGGAAACTTAGATCTGTGTTTGGTAACTGACATGATGGAGTGCTGTGGTTAATGCCACAGCAGAGAGGAAAGAACAGTTTTGTGTGATGCACGTTGGCATTCCTGCATTGCTTACAGCCACTTTAGTGACAGAAAACATGTTTATCCACCCTGACCTTGGCTTGATGCTATTAAAGAGCCTGTACCTGTCCTCTCTCAAGGGACAGGTGTGTCTTTTTATCTACAGCTATTGCTTAATTTTGAAGGTGGAAATTTCTCTCGTAAGCCTGAAATTCTGTTACAGCTGTACTCATTACAGGAAATTGGAATGTCTTTGGCTGTTCATGACCATTAACCCTTTTCCAGGGTGGTTTGGATGGGCTGTTCCTGGGGTGCCTCCAGGCACAAAATACTGATTTTTATCTTGCAAGCACACTGCCACCCTCCTTTGCTGTGTCTTTTCAGCTTTCTTTAGAGTAGCACCAGGTAACTGCAGCTGCTGTGCTGGCCTTTCCCTTGTTAGGGCAGAAATCAACGCTGACCTGGCACTGTGAGCTACAGCATGGTGCAGAGCTGCTGTGCAAAACCTCTGTCACCTGCAAACCCCACCCGGGCGCACACAGAACCCCTGTTGTTCTGTCTGGATCCTGAGTGCCCTGCAGTGCCCAGGTCACAGCACACCAGGCTGGGCTGGCAGGAATTTATTGTATTATATTTTTATGCTATACTCAAACTATACTAAAGAAAAAGAGAAAGGATATGTCAGATGCTTAACAAGAGTGATAATGAAAGCTCATGACTGACTCAGAGTCTGACACAGCTGATGGTGATTGGTGATTAAATTAAAGCAACTCACATGAAACCAACCAAAGATGCACCTGTTGGTAAATGATCTCCAGACCACATTCCAAGCAATCAGATAATTATTGTTTTCATTCTTTTTTGAGGCTTCTCAGCTTCCCTGGAGAAGAAATCCTGGCAAAGGGATTTTTCAGAAAATGCCATGGTGACAACCCAGCCCTGTCTCCTTGTGAAGCTGTGACTGGGGTGGGCTCGGGGCTGCCCCTCACAGGGCACACCGACACTGATGCAGGTGGCTGAGAGCACCAGGGAAACACAACAGTTACACACAAGAATCAGGATTTTCCTTCTTCCCCTGATGCTGCGGGGACCAGTGTCCTGTTGTGATGCCACCTGTCGCAGACATCTTTTATGAAAAAACCTTTCTTTAGGATTTTTCCTCTTGAGAAGCTGAGAGGCTTTAGGAACAAAATGTAAACAATGATTATCAGCTGCTGTGGAATGCAACAGGTGCATCTGTGATTGGCTCATGTTGGTTGTTTTTAATTAATGGCCAATCACAGTCAGCTGGTTCAGACTCTGCCCGAGCCACAAGCCTTTGTTATCATTCTTTCCTATTCTATTCTTAGATAGAATAGGATGATGAAATCCTTTCTTCTATTATTTTACTATAGTTTTAATGTAATATATATAATAAAATAATAAATCAAGCCTTCTGAAACACAGAGTCAGAACCTCGTCTCTTCCCTCACTCTCAGAGCCCTGTGAGCACCGTCACAGTCACCTGCTGGTGGAGGGTGACAAACCAAGTGTGTGTGACCCCACGGGGGCTGTGCTGTGAGGTCACATCCCTCGCTGGCTCTGGGGCCAGCAGAGTGGAGCAGGTGTCTCCTGGAGCCGTGGGCTGGCCCTGGCAATTCCCTGCCCGAGCCCCGAGCCCAGCCTGGCGCTGGCAGCGCTGCAGGTGAGCCCCGCGGGGACGCTCCCCATCCGCACAGCCTGCCTGGGCGTCCTCCAGCGCCTGGGCCTTTCTTCGTGCCCTGTGTGCCCCAGGACAGCCAGTGTGAAATAAACAGGGCAGGAGATCTTTCTCCTTTTCAATGCCTTGATTAAGAGCGATCAGCTTGGGCGGGGAGAGCCGACGGGTCGCGGTCACGCCGCCGCTGCTCCCAGAAGTGGCATGGAGGAGGAGAAAGAGTGCAGCTGTGCCCCTGGTCTGCGGGCAGAGCTGGGGGTTCCGTCCTCATGAGAGCACCAGGGGCTTCCCAGTTTTTTCGTTTGACATTCGGGGTCCTCTTTCTAGCCAACGTCTTTTTAGATTAGGGTGAAAAGTAAAAAGGGTCTTGGCGGACACTGGATTCTGTTCCTCACGTCTAGACATCAATCCCTCAATTCCATGTTGGCTCATTGTTTTTAGGGGTTTTTGCTAGGTTTGGTGAAAGGTTTCTTCATTTGCATGCCAACTCCCCTCATCTTAACCGTCCCAGGTGCCATCCTCCGGGAAGCAGCAGGGTGTTACTCGACAAGAAGGGGAATTGCCAACCATCAACAACAGGTAGTTAACGAAAAACTATTAACAACAGTTAGAACTGCACCCTGGCAGCAACTGGCCGAGCCTGTGAACTCTGCAACCTTCTAAAAAAATGGGCAACTTCTCTACTCGAAACACAGCGCCCACGGCCTCTCCATTCCGCAGTGTGTGAGATGCTCTGGAGGCGCTAGAGAATCCCAGAATCGCCGAGGCTGCAGGAGAGCAAGCGCAGCTGCGGGCCCAGCACCGCGGCCGGTGCCAGCCATGGGGAGCGTGCTGTCCTTGTACCTGCCCGCAGCCCCGCCGGCCCCCAGCAAGGCCACGCAGACGGACTGGAACTGCCCGGTGTGCCACAGCGTGGAGGGCGACGCGGCCGCCGTGCCCTGCGGCCACCGCTTCTGCCTGGGCTGCCTGCTGCGCCACACGGCCGGCAGCGCCACGTGCCCGCGGTGCGCCAGCCCCGTGCTCAGCGCCCGCTTCTCCGTGCTGGGCCGCAACGATTTCCTGCAGTGCCTGCTCGGCCCGGCCGCGGCACCGCCGGCGCCCGCCGGCTGGGCCCGCCGCGCCGTGTTCCGCCTGGTCTACACCGGCCCGGCCGCGCCGCGGGCAGCGCCGGCCGCGGCTGAGCCGGCGGGCGCGGAGGAGTTCCCGGCGGAGCTGTGGGCAGAGCTGCTGCAGGGCCAGGAGCGGCTGCTGGAGCCCGTGCGGCCCTGGCTGCGGCACAGCCTGGACGCCATCTACGGGCCGCACTGGTGGGAGGCGCGGCAGGTGGAGACCATCGCGCTGGCCACGCTGTGCATCTGCGGCCCGGACAGGGCCGAGCTCACGCACATGCTGCAGCGCTACCTGGGCGACTACACCGCGCCGCTCATCCGCGGCCTCGTCCACGTGGCCGTGCACGGCTGCCGGGAGGCCTGGCTGCGGCGGCGCTCACCGCCGGCCCCGCAGGACGAGCCGGACGAGGCACAGAGCCCCGCGTCCAGCGCCGGGCCCTCCTCGCCGGGCGGGACCCCCGGCCTGGCCCCGGACCCCGCAGGGCCCGGCCTGGGGCAGCCGCCCGGCCGGCCTGAACCCGGGGCTGGGCCCGGCCTTCCCCCGGCCGCGCCCGGCCACGCCGGGCAGGAGTGGCTCCGCGGCGGCCCCGGGCAGCGCCGGGCCCCGGCCGAGCCGCAGGAGGACGCGCTGGCCCAGGGCCCCTCCGCGCCCCGCCGGGGCAGCAGCCGCCGGCCCCCGGCCCGGCCCCGCGGCACCCGGCGCTCTGAGGGGAGGAGGGCCCACAAATCCCGGCGCCCTTTGAGGGTGAGGAGGAGGAAACTAAGGAGGAAATAAAATTGTGCCATTCCCGTGACACAGTCTCCCCCTTCTCCTGAGGCCCTTCCGATGGCCAGGCTCCGTGTGCCAGCATTGAACAGAGAAGGGTCGCGATGCCGCGGGCCGTTCCCGTGTGCTGTGGGCAGCCCCGAGCGCACCGCAGAGCCCCTCACAGCACCGAGCGGCTCGCTGCCCCACAGCCCGGGGACAGTCACGCCTCTGCCGCGGCCAGGAGCCCCGCGCAGAGCCCGGAGGGGTGTTCACAGGCGGTGGGGAACGGATCAGCAGCGAGCTCTGCCCGCTCCGCCAGTGCCCGCGGGCTGACGGCTGTGCCCGCGCTGTCCCTGCCCTCCCTGAGGCCGGGCTGTCCCTGCTGTCCCCGGGCTGTCCCCGCTGTCCCTGCTCTCACTGTCCCCGGGCTGTCCCTGCTGTCCCCTCTGTCCCCGGGCTGTCCCTGCTGTCCCCGGGCTGTCCCCGCTGTCCCTGCTCTCACTGTCCCCGGGCTGTCCCTGCTGTCCCCTCTGTCCCCGGGCTGTCCCTGCTGTCCCCGGGCTGTCCCCGCTGTCCCTGCTCTCACTGTCCCCGGGCTGTCCCTGCTGTCCCCTCTGTCCCCGGGCTGTCCCCGCTGTCCCTGCTGTCCCCGGGCTGTCCCTGCTCTCCCTGTCCCCGGGCTGTTCCCGCGCTGCCCTGCCCTCCCGCCGCAGTCCCTGCCGTGCCCTCCCTAAGGCCGGGCTGTTCCCTCACTCACCCTCCCTCCCTCCGCTGCTGGCCCGACCCGTGTGGCGAGGGGCGCGGCCCAGCGCGACGCCCGGCGCTGATTGGTTGTCGCGACGCCCGGCGCTGATTGGCTGTCGTGCGGCCCGGAAGCGGAAGCGGCGGCGGAAGCGGCGAGACGGCGGTGATGGCGGTGGAGATGGAGGTGGCGGACGGGCAGTGCCGGCTGCGGCCTTTCTCCTGCGAGCTGGGGCTGCTCTCGCGGCCCGACGGCTCGGCCGCCTTCCTGCAGGGTCTGTGGGGCTTCCCTTCCCCTTCCCCTCCCTTCCCCTCCCCCTCCCCTCCCCGGCTCTGCTCACCGGGGCTCCCTTTCTTTCCTTACCGGGTCTCCTTTTCCCAGCCTTCCCCTCCCGAGACTTTCCTTCCCAGCCCATTCCGGCTCCGCTTCCCGGGGCTCCTCCTTCCTTCCCAGCTCTTCCCGCAGTGTCTGTGGTGCTGCCTATCCCAGGCCTCCCCTTCTCTGCCTCACAGAGCTCCCCTGCTGCCCGTCCCGGGGCTCCCCTGCTCTCCTTGGCAAGTCCTGTTCCTACCCTTCCCGCAGGGTGCCAGGGGCTCCTGTTGCCGGGAGCAGCCTCCTCACCTGAGCTCTGCTCTCTGTGTGCCCAGGTGACACCTCAGTGCTGGCCGGGCTCTACGGCCCCGCGGAGGCCAAGATCAGCAAGGAGCTGCCGGACCGGGCGGCGCTGGAGGTGCTGCTGCGCCCCAAGGTGGGGCTGCCAGGTGGGGACTTGCCATCCTGTCCTAGTCCAGGTTCTTCCCCCCAGAGTCAAGATACTTGGTTTATTTACAGCTTTTTAGTTCAGTTTTGCTGGGTGGCAAACCCACACACGCAGCACAAGCAAACCCTTTGCTGCTGACACGTTTTACCAACCCAAGGCACTGCGGTGCCCCGGTTCTGTGGGCAGTCAGTGCCCTCCCTGCTGCTGTCACTGCCCAGTGCCACGCTGGCTCTGTCCCTGCTGTGCCCGGGGCTGCCTGCCCTGCCCTGTGCCCAGCCCCGCTGTGCCCAGCAGTTTGTCCCTTCTCCTGGCACTGTCCCCTGGGTGTGCCCGGCAGGGAGCTCTGTGCTGCCCCAGGGCAGCCCGGGGAGCCGGGCAGGGGGGTTTGGGTGCCAGCTGACAGGCTGCCCGCTGTGCAGGCGTGCTGGAGCGCAGCCGGGAGCAGCTGCTGCGGCAGACGTGCGAGGCCGTGCTGCTGGGCGTGCTGCACCCGCGCACCGCCATCTCCCTGGTGCTGCAGGTGCTCAGCGACGCCGGCTCCGTATCCTTCCCTCTGTGGGGCGGCCTGGGGGGCGGGGGACGGGAGCTCTCTCTGCTGTGGGTCCCTTGACACGGCCAGCTGCTGTCGTGCTGCCTGAACGCCGCCTGCATGGCGCTGCTGGACGCGGGGCTGCCCCTGGCCGCCCTCTTCTGCGGGGTCACCTGTGCCCTGCAGCCCGACGGCACCATCCTGCTGGACCCCACGGCCCGACAGGAGCAGGTGAGCCCTGCGTGGGCGGGGGGCCTGCTCTGGGTGTGCCCCCCAGCCCTCCTGACCCCTGTCCCCGCAGGAGGCACGCGCCATCCTCACCTTCGCCATCGCCAGCAGCGACAGGAAGGTGCTGATGGCCACCACCAAGGGCAGCTGCTCCGTGGAGGAGGTGAGGGACCCCCGGGGGCGGTGTGGGGTGCGGGATTCCCTCACAGGGGGCCCCTCACAGCCAGCCCTTCTCCCCGCTCTGTGCAGATGCAGCAGTGCCTGGCCGCAGCCCAGCGTGCCGCCAGCACCGTCTTCCAGTTCTACCGCGACTCCGTGCGCCGCCGCTACTCCAAGTGCTGAGCCGGGGACACCCTGCGGGCAGCTGGACTGGCCTGGGCCCCCAGCCCTCAGTAAAGGACCCTTTTCACTCCAGTCTGCCTCCTGAATCCATCCTGTGCCACAGCACCTCCAGAGGGGGATGCACACGGGGACACTTCTGGGGGTACATGTCCCAGGACCTGCTGGCTCCTGAGAACCCCTGGGGTGGGGACACATGGACACAGCATGGGCACGGGCCTGGTGGGACACCCAACATGGCGGCCCTGGGGTGCCGCACCTGCACTGCAACACCCAACATGGCAGCCCTGGGGTGCCACACCTGTGCTGGGACACCCAACATGGCGGTGCTGGGGCGCCGCGCTCCAGCCACAGTCCCGGCACACCCAACATGGCGGCGCGGCTGGTGACCTTCGAGCAGGGCGGTGCCATCGCGTGTCGACCCCAACGCGTTGCTGGGCGGGGCTTGTGCCACCGCGACCAATAGGGAGACGGTGTTGGGCTGACCACGTGGTGGGCGGGGTGGTGCTGGCGCCTCTGGCTGCGCATGCGCGGTGGTTGAGGGGTGGGGAGGAGTCAGAGTCAAAGAGAAGGATCAGTGGGGGCAATAACGGGGGGCAGTGGAGGCAATAACGGGGGGCACTGGGGGCAATAACGGGGATTTGGAGGGCATTAACAGGGAACAGTGGGGGTGAGGAGGGCAATAGCGGGGGTCACTGGGGGCATGGGGGCAATACGAGGGTGTAGGGGCAATAATGGGGGCAATATCAGGGTTCAGTGGGCTGTGGGCTTCGGGCTCCCCCACGGGCTGCACCGGGGCAGCTGTGAGAGTTGAGAGATGGGGCCGTGACGGAGGTGGCAAGCCCTAACAAATAAAAATTATTGTACACACTAACCAAAACTAAAAGAGGCCCCCCCCGCCAGGAAAGCATGGCTCCCCCACTAGGATAAACCCTCAGGGATCACAGGGGAGCGAGCTGGAAGAGCGGGGGCAGAAACGAGACACGAGGTGGGGCGCTGTGTGTGTTTTTGCGTCTGTGTCTGTGCATGTGTCTGTGTGTGGAGAAGGGGCTCTGTGTGTGTGGGGAAGGGGCTGGCTGTGCGTCTGTCTGTCTGTGCGTCTGTCTGTGGGGAAGGGGCTTTGTGTCTGTCAATGTCTGTGCGGGGGGAAGGGGCTGTGTGTGTCGGTGTGTCTGTGTGGGGAAGGGGCTGGCTGTGCGTCTGTCTGTCTGTGCGTCTGTCTCTGGGGAAGGGGCTCTGTGTCTGTCTGTCAGTGTCTGTGCGGGGGGAAGGGGCTGTGTGTGTCGGTGTGTCTGTGTGGGGAAGGGGCTGGCTGTGCGTCTGTCTGTGTCTGTTTGTCTGTGTGGGGAAAGGGCTGTGTGTCTCTGTCGGTCAGTGTCTGTCTCTGTGTGTGTGTCTGTCATTGTGTGTCAGCGTCTGTCCGTGTGTCTGTCCGTGTCTGTCTGTCGGTCTGCGGCAGGGGGCGTGTCCCTGTCGCCCCGTGATGACGTCGCACGCGGTGTCCCCGTGACGCGGCGCAGCGATGGCGGCGGCAGCGGCGGCGCTGCGGGGCCGGCGCTTCAAGTGGGCCCTGGACCTGGGGGCGGCGCCGGGGGCTCGGTGAGGCCGGGGGGACACCCGGGGCAGTCGGGACGCACCCGGGACACCCCCGGGACACCCCCGGACCCCGAGCGGCCCCTCACCCGCCCCGCTGTCCGCAGGCCCCGCGGAGCCGCCGAGGGCCGCGGCCCGCTCGGCTTCGCTGACCGGCAGCTGGGGGAGGGCGGCGTCCACGAGAGCGATAAGATCCTCATGGAGAAGGTGTGAGGGAGGGAGCGGGGGACAGCCGGCACTCCGCGGGGCTTGGGGGGCTGTTCCGTGTCCCCACACAGCCCGGGCACCTTTGTGGGACCGCTCCCTAGCCCGGGTTCCGCGCACTCCCACCCCACCGGGCAGCCCTGGCCCGAGTTCCCCGCGTCCCCAGCGTTGCTCCCTGGTGCCCGACACCGCGGACAGCTCTGGGGGCCTCTCCCTGCCTCAGGCCGTCCGTGGGTCCCCACACCCCGGCTCCCCGTGGGGGTGGTCCTTTCCCCGCGTCCCTCCCCTGCCCCGGCCCTGCGGGTCCCCCAGCCCCGGGCACGCGTCACGGGTGCTCCCTGCCCTGGGATCCCCCGAATGGCGGCTCCCCATACCCACCCTGGCCCCCAAATGCCGAGTCCCTACACCCTCCCCGGGTCCCCAAATGCCGTGTCCCCCTGCCCACCCTGGGATCCCCCAGATGCCCTGTCCGGATGCCCCCCCATGACCCTCTGTGTTTGCAGCGCTGCTGGGACGTGGCTCTGGCACCGCTGAAGCAGATCCCCATGAACCTGTTCATCATGTACATGGCCGGCAACACCATCTCCATCTTCCCGGCCATGATGGTCTGCATGATGGGTTGGCGCCCGCTGCAGGCCCTCATGTCCCTGTCTGCCAGTGAGTGCAGCCCCAGTCCCGTGGGGACAGCCCTGGGTGTCCCTGGGTGTCCCCACAGCCCTCTGAATGTGTCACAGCCCCCTGGGTGTCCCTCAATCCCCTGGGTGTTCCCACAGCCCCCTGGGTGTCCCTGCACTGCCCTGGGTATCCCACAGGCCCCTGGGTGTCCCCACAGTCCCCAGAGGTGCCACAACCCCCTGGGTGTCCCACAGCCCCCGTGGTGTCCCCACAGCCCCCTGGATGGCCAGATGTCTCCCACAGCCCCACAGTGACCCCCACACCATTACACCATTCCCCTGTGGCCAGCACTGCCCCGTGGTGCTGCCCACCCCCTGCGCCCCGTGCCAGCAGCCTGGGTGTCACTGAGGGGCCCCACTGTGTTCCCAGCCCTGAAGGCCCTGGAGAGCTCCAGCCGGCGGGCGCTGCAGGGGCTCGTGTTCCTGGTGGGCAACGGGCTGGGGCTGGCACTGGCCCTCTACAAGTGCCAGGCCATGGGGCTGCTGCCCACCCGCCCCTCCGACTGGCTGGCCTTTGTCACCCCTCCGCAGGTGAGACGGCTGCTGGGGACACCTGGAGAGTCGGGGGTGGTGGGGACACCCTGCTGACCCCACAGTCAGGGGTGCTGGGGACAGCCTGGAGAGTCGGGGGTGATGGGGACACTGCACAGAGTCAGGGGGTTCTGGGGTCACCTCACACAGTCAGGGGGTTCTGGGGTCACCCTGCACAGTCAGGGGTGCTAGGGACAGCCCACAGACTCAGGGGGTGCTGGGTCGGACCCCCAGGGCCCCCCACTCACCCGTTCCTCTCTCCCCTCTCTTGGCAGCGAATGGAGTTCACTGGGGGGGGCCTGATCTTGTGACCCCCTGCGCCCACCCACCAATAAAGGCAATGGCAGGATGGTGACATCGTGTGACATCGGGGAATTTTGAGTGTTTGGGGACTAAAAAATGTTTATTGGGCTGCACTGGGGACACTGGGGCAGCACTGGGAGTGCCCTGGGAGCCTTGGGACCTGCACTGGGAGCAGTGGGAGCTCTGGGGCCTGTGCTGGGGCGTGCACTGGAGCTGCTCCCGGAGCCACAGGACCATACTGGGAGCCATACTGGAAACACTGGGAGTATCCTTGTGGCACGCTTGGGGAGAGCTGCAGCCTGAGGCTGGCTCTGTGCTGGAAGCACTGGGTCCGCACTGGGAACACTGGGGATCACATCAGGATCGGGATCTGGCTGTAGGTCACGGTGGTGTCACACTGGGAGCCTGCCTGAAGAGCTGTGGCTCACCAGCACTGTGCTGGGAGTGCTGGAGGTGTGTTGGAGGCCCTGAGCACCTGCTGGGACTGTGGCAGCCCGCACTGGGATGGTGCTGGCTGTGCCCACACTGCTGGTTTCTGCCACATCTCACCATTTTACTGGCGTAGTTTCCTCATTTTCAGGGTTTTTCTCACCACTTATTGCCCATTTGTGCCCTGGTTTTGCCCTTTTCCCTTGCCCTTTGATACTTTTTTCCCCACTTTTGCAGTAATTTCTTCCACTGTTGCTCCCAGCAGAGCCCAAACCTTTCCTTTCCAGTATGGACCAGTGCCTCCCAGTACAGCCTTGTGCCCTCTGCAGCCTTTGAGTGTGATCCAGGGCTCCAGGATGACGTTACCATGGCCCAGAGCCCAGTCCCAGTCCATGCCAGCAGCTCCACAGCGGCACTGGGGCAGGGATGGGGCAGGGCCGTGCATGGGGACAGGGCGGTGTCACCCCTCACTGTCGCGGCGAGGGAAGATCGGACGCTCAATCTGAGCTCAGCAAGCTTCGTTTATTGGTGGGAGCATCAGACAATCATGCACAACAAGTAACAAGCTCATACTTATTCTGTAAGCCAAGCAGTCTATTGGTTATACCATAATTATCAGCTCCTCTCTTACTTCCTCATTCTTTGTGTCTTACATCTTTTTCTCATGTCTCTCTCTCTCTCAACCACAGCACCCTGTTACCATCATACGGCTGTGCTCAAGGCCACAGTGTCCCTGCAGCTGCAGGGACTCAGACTGGCTGGCTCTGGTACTTTTCCAATTCTTGGTTGGCTATTTGAAGTATTTTATGTGGTTTTTGTCACATAGCTATTCTTCCACTATCACTGAGCTGAGGGCTGTGCATGTCCCAGGGTGTCACCAGGCACGGTGACCCCAGCACAGCATTTCCCCCTGGCCACAGCTCCCACAGGCTCATCCAGGTTGGAAAATCCCCCCAGGCCCTGGAGTCCCAGCTGTGCCTGATCCCCACCCTGTCCCCAGCCCAGAGCTCGGAGTGCCACCTGCAGGTGCCACCTGCAGGGCTGGGCACTCCAAACCCCCCTGGGCAGTGCCAAGGCAGCTCCTGAGCCCCCTTTCCATGGGGAAATCCCTGCTGTGCCCACCCTGAGCTGCCCTGGCCCAGCCTGAGGCCGTTCCCTCTGCTCCTGTCCCGGAGTGTCTCTGGCCAGTGCCCCCCCAGCTGTGTCTGCGCACTCGGTGCACTGGTGCTGCTGTGCCCAGAGGAGAAAGGCTGGCAGAGCTGGCCTAGCTCAGTAACTGGTGAGGCTGGGAATCAGTGGAGTGCAGCTTCTCGCTCCTTTCCTTGGTTAATGTTCATTGTGCTTTGGATTGTGCACTTCCACAGTCTAATGATTTCCCTAAAAGACCATTGTATTAACCCACCAGGTGCAATCCATTCTTCATCTGGCAGCATTGTCAGGAGCTGTGCAGAGCCAGAGGGTCTCCCTGAGCCTCCTTTTCTCCACCTGAGCCCCTTCCCAGCTCTCTCAGCCCCTCCTGGGCTCCATTCCCTTCCCAGCTCTGTCCCCTGGACTCTCCAGCCCCTCAGAGGGGCCCGAGCTGGACCCAGCCCTGGAGATGGAGCCTGGGCAGGGCCAGCACAGGGACAGTCACTGCCCCGTGCTCCTGGCACAGCCCTGGGCCCTCCTGGCCGCCTGGAATCGTGGCCACGAGCCGCAGCTCTGGTCTCTCCTGGCAGCATCCCCTGTCCCTCAGGGGACACAGCACTCCAGTGGCACTGGGAGGGTCTCCTCCCCCTGTGTGCCCCATTCCCCGAGGTTCTGGCAAGGCCGTGCTGCTCCTGGAGCTCAGACACCTCTGCTCTTGCCTCACTCCTCATCCAGCAGTGTGGCAGCAACGACACAGCCTGCTCCGGGAGGGGACCCTCAGCAGAGCCACCTGTAAGGCAGGGACACACCGCTGTGGGGGACAATAGGAAGAGTTTGTGAAGGGACACCTGCCTAGTGCTGGAAAATCAGAGAGCTGCACCAAACTGGGATGGCTGGATCATTCCTGGGCACACCAAGGCACAGGAACAGCTGCTCTGAGGGGCACGAGGGCCTGGGCATCCCATGGGGATCCCATGTGGATCCCACAGGGGTCTGGGGCTGTGCTGGACACCAGTGTGTTGTGTGACATCCTCTCCCCAAGGTCAGCGTGTGACACAGCGCATCCAGCACGGCCAGACCTCAGAGCCCTGGCCCGGCTGTCAGCACTGTCCCCAGCACCAGCCCTGGCAGGGACATTCCTGGGCCAGAGCACAAGGAAATCCCCCGTCTGAGACAGCAGGGGGAGAAGCCTGTTCCTCCCTGCAGCCTCCAGGCTAGCTGAGCTCAGGAATGCCCTGGATCTCATTTCCCGGGGAATGCAGAGCCTCTGCAGATGGATCACCTGCCCGGATGCAGCAGGCACCTGAGGCTGCAGGCAGGGAGCCCCCGAGGGACTCGGCTCTGCTCCCAAATTATCACCCAGTGCCCAAAGCTGAGCTGCACTTCCAGGAGCCCTGGCCCGTGAGCCAAGGGCAGATCCCGGCGGCTCCTGGGCCACCAGAGCTGGCACAGCCCCACCCTGCCCCACCTGCACACACATTTTTGTGCACAGCTGTGGGACCCCGGTGCGTGCAGGTCTCTGGGAGAGCATCAGCCCTGATCCAGCTCCAGGGCCTAAAGACAGCACAGCTGCTGTCAGCACTGGGCTGCCTGATGGTTTGTGCTGTGCAGCATGTGTGGGCTGGGCAGAGCCTGCGGGAGCTGGGCTGGGCAGGCTGCACAAGGGAACGCTGCCAGGGATGCCATCAATGCCCCCCAACATCTGCAGGGGCTGCCAGAGCACGGGCCGGGCTCTGCTCGGCGCTGCCGGTGCCAGCAGCAGCAGCAGCAGCCATTAAAGAAAGGGCAGCAGGAGGGAGAACTGGTGTGCATGGAGGGACAGCAGAGCCCTGGAGCAGCTGCCCAGGGAGGGCCTGGAGTGTCCCTGTGTGGAGCCATCCCAGCCCCAGCTGGGCACCTTCCTGTGCCCCTGCCCCTCTGCCCTGCCTCCCCTCCCATCCCCGGGCCTCACCCAGCTCCATCACTGTAATTAATTATCACAAACACAGCAGGACAGGGCCGTGGCACAGCTGCTCTCCCGTTTATTTCCATCGGGCTGTTGTTGGGCTGGGTGCAGGGCAGACTGGGCGTTCACACGGACGGGGGGTGAGCTGGGCAGCCGCAGTGCGGGGCGGACAGGGGCTCTGTTCACGGCACAGCGAGCGCTCCGTCACGGCCGGGACTCCCCGCCGGCCCGCCCGTGCTGCCGGTGCCGAGGGGACACCCTCGGGAGCCATGCGGCGCCGGCCGCGCGCCGCTCCCGCCGCAGTGCCCGGGGAGAGCAGCCGCAGGTCATCCCGCCGGTCCCGGGGGCTCATATACTGTCCAGCTTCTTCAGGATGAACGGAGCTGCGGAGAAAACATCGCCGAGTCGGGCGCGGCCCGCGCCGAGACTGCTGCGGGACGGTGCCGCAGCTCAGACACCGCGCCCGACGTGAGACACCCCCCGGGCGGCCCCGGCACGGCACCGGGAGCGCGGGACCGGGACAGACCCGGAGCCCGGAACGCGTGGCCGGGATATGCCAGGGAACAGGGCCCCAGAACAGCCCCGGAGCTGAGGCCCAGCACATCCCGGGAGCGCGGGGCCGGGATATCCTCGGTGACGGGGGTCCAGGACACCTCCGAAGCTCAGGCCCAGCACATCCCGGGAGCGAGAGCCCAGAGGCCGGGCCCGGCGCAAGCCCGGGCCGCGCCACCCGGTGTCACTCACTGATCCGCAGCAGTGCGACGTAGATGACGAAGTTGCGGACGGAGGCGAGCACGTCGCGGCGCATCTTGCGGCGCAGCTCCTCGGGGTCCATCTTGGGCCCCAGCCCCTCGATGCGGAACATCCCGGAGCGGAGCGCGACCCCGACCCCAATCCCGGCCCCGCTCCCGACCCGGCCCCGGCGCCGCTGGCGGCCACGCTCGGCGGGAATACGTCACCAGACGCGCCGCGCCTCGCGCGACCCCGGCGGCCGCCGGCGCGCGGAAATGGCGTCACTTCCGGTCGGGCGTGAGGGGAGCGGGACAAGGATGGGGACAGAGGGACAGGGATGGGGACAGGGGCAGAGGGACAGCGACAGGGAGGGGGGCAAGGGACCGAGATGAGGACAAGGGACAGGGACGGGACAGAAGGACAGGGATGGGGACAAGGGACAGGGAACAGAGGGACAGGGATGGGGACAGAGGGACAAGGACGGGGACAGGGAACAGAGAGACAAGGGATGGGAACAAAAGCAGAGACAGGGAGCGGGACCGGGATGGGGGCAAGGACAGGGACAGGGACCGGGACAAGGAACAGTGACAGGGCCAAGACACAAAACCAGGGATGGGGACAGCTCAATCCGCGGCGTGTCGCGGGCACGAGCAGAGGCTGTCAGCACCCAAACCCCCCTGCCCCGGCAGCCGGGGGCGCTGGGGCTCGGGAAAGGAGGGTCAACCCCAGCCCCGGGCGGGCAGCGAGCTCACAGCGTGCCCAGCCTGGGCAGAGCCAGCCCGGCTCCCCGGGGCTGCCCTGGGGCACACGGAGCTCCCTGCCAGGGGACAGTGCCAGGAGAAGGGACAAACTGCTGGGCACAGCGGGGCTGGGCACAGGGCAGGGCAGGCAGCCCCGGGCACAGCAGGGACAGAGCCAGCGTGGCACTGGGCAGTGACAGCAGCAGGGAGGGCACTGACTGCCCACAGAACCGGGGCACCGCAGTGCCTTGGGTTGGTAAAACGTGTCAGCAGCGAAGGGTTTGCTTGTGCTGCATGTGTGGGTTTGCCACCCAGCAAAACTGAACTAAAAAGCTGTAAATAAACCAAGTATCTTGACTCTGGGGGGAAGAACCTGGATTGGGGCAGGAGTAGGCCGGGCTGTGTGTGAGAGGGCATGTCACACAGAGCACTGAGAGTAACAGGATCCCAAGGGATTTGGGGCTGGAATGTCCCTGTGGAGCTCCCAGCCCAGCCCTGCCCAGGCAGGGTGCCCTGGTGCATCCCACAG